TCTCATGTAGGTTTCGATTAAACCCACCATATTATTTAGGGAAATTAACTCTACTAGACGGACAAACTCGATGTATCTGAGTAAGAATTAACAGTTCACACTGGACCTTTTTTTAGGAACTAGCACATGCGATACCACAAAGAGCCCATAATTGTTGTTGTTTCAAAGAGATGATGATGCTGACAACTATAATGCCGATAACCATTTTGAAGTGCATACATTCGATTTCATTGCAATGCTTATATCTGATTGCGCATTTAGTATCTTATGAATACCTTGTATACGAAAAGAAGTGAGAAAAAAATAATCAGCGTAGAAAGCCACTATCTGTGCCCCCGGAATGTATCGTCGTTGACATTCCTAGCACATAGGAAACAGTTTTTTTTTTTATTATATGGGGAGCACTAGCATCGGATATAGGTTAGAATGTTTAACTTGCATTTTACGTATCTGATGGTTGAGAATAAAGGTAACATCCATATCAGAAGTTTGTCTCTTTATAAGATTGGTTTTGAATGTATTAGACGTCCTTAATCGTTTTGCAAAGTAAACATTTGCTGGATGTCTTTTTTTATGAATTTAAAATATCGATATTCTCTCCGCATCGGATGTAGTCACTCAAGTTAATAACTTTGTTAATGTATGTAATTCATCTTTTTTTTTTTTTTTCAAAGCAAAACCTGGGTTTTGCTTTGAAACCCAGATGCAATGTCTGTCACAGAGACGAAGGTGCATGGGGCCCTCAATATGCCACGCTAAAAGTAACCGTCTACATGAAAACCAGCCGACCGCTACATTGTGGATTGCGGATGGGGTTTACTCTCAGGGGGTGGCGATGTCAAAATTTACAAAGCGCATACGTTGAAAGCAGTAAGCATCTGCCTACATAGGTACACGAAGTGGTAATCATCAGTTGATTTCAAACAAACTTTCCGGATGTCATGTTTATTGGCGTCCTTTTACTTGCATTCAGTAAATTTCGTGCAAGACGCATGTTAAACTTCGCTTGATGGGCCTGTCACGTATTTTACATATTGATTACATTGTAAGCAAATATCCGTAAATAAAATTTCTTTTTTTGTATGCGGCCAACATCCTGAAATTCTGCTAATGAGTACAGAACCAGGGCCGATAAAGAAAACAAATGTTTTACTGGGTTTGGGTTGGCTATGTAAGCGTTTCCCTAGTACCTGTTCTTTTTATATTTAAAGAAAACTGTCCGAGGCACAACTATTTTGTTTATTTTATTTACGTCAATATAGGGAACGTTTTCATGTACTGAACCCCTTCCGCCTTTTGTTCCCTACTCAAGATAATGGAATTGCGTATCGGGTAATTAATGCATTTCCACGTTTTCCTTGAATTAGCTTCAGAATGTAGCCATCAAAAAACATTCCTCTCATACTTAAGAACAAAAAAATAATTGTTTGCGTCATTCATTTTCTAATATATCGCTGGAAGACAAGTAAAGACAATTCTAAATTCACACATCAATTGGCTCCAACAAATAAGAAACTTACAAACATGCTGACTGGGAACATATGGCATCAGCAGAAAGATCTCAAGAACAGAGGCACAAAAGAAACATTTTAGTTATGTCACCCTTAAGTTCGAAAAATAAACCAACACTCAAAAATAACGAGATTAACCTTTCAATGAGAAGATCTCACAGATAAAAAATGCATATAATTTATTTCCATTCTCCAGGTGCACCTCAACCACATGATATTAAAGCGTGTTTGTAAACAGTTTATAGATTGGTTTTCGTTTACCCTCGTCTCCAGCCCACGTATTTGATAAATTCGGTATGCGACATGAAGAACAAAAGCAAGGCATTACGACTTATAACAAAGAAAAGAATATCGAAAAGTCAAAAAACAAGAATGCATAGTCAGTAGCGATTAAAATGTGAGGTTCTTCCACTGGTGTGGCGAGAGCAAAACGATGTTCCTTTTCCTCATACCGAAAGTTCCGCGATTTCAGACGGCGGCGCCAGCGTAGAGAAGCTCTATCCATAAGCAAAACATTACAGGGGGAAGCTTGAGACTGCTTACGTGTAGGAATGCTACAGAATTTCCACACGTAGCGCATTCCTACAAGCAGCGCGTCACGCCTTCCTATCGCAAACGGCGCTCCGGCGGTGACATCAACTTCCCCACAGCGCAGGTCGGCTTCACGGCTTCCGTGACGAAGAATCTGCGATGCTGTGCTTTTCTTTGCGTTTTATTTCTGAGGCGCGTCCGCTTTGACCATCAACGGCCCCCGGCTCCCGTGACGAAACACTTGCGTTGCTGTGCTTTCGGCCAATGGGAATTTAACTGCCGTTTCGCTGCTACAGACGGTTACAGACAACGCAGGCTTCGCTTCATGGGACATGGGACTGACGCGTCAAAATCATGTGTGTGTGTTTTTTTTTGTTGTTGCTTTTTGTTATCCGAAACGATAGAAAACGATGCCTAAACATTACTCTCAAAATTCGAAACTTAAAAATCCAATGTTTGCGAAGTAAAAAAAAAAAAAAAAAATAACATTTTCCAAAGGCCGATTTTGAAATTCCCGCGAGATCCGCGCCAGTGCAGTGACGTCAAATATTGAGCCATCCTGTGAGTTGAGTTCCTCAGAAGCCTCCAAACCACAACCAACCGAAGTGTTCTGTTTGCCGGCGTCCCGCGAACAATCGGTTTCCTCCGTGCGTGCCGCCTATCGCTGCGAGCAGACGATGCTTCACTTTCGATTTCACAGTTCTTTTATGGCCCCTTCAGGCGATCTCGAATTCTTTGAAACGGTGTGAGGTCGAAGAGAACGCGCCGTGGACTTTTGCGAGGGACGTGAGGGGCCACGTCCCGCCGATTCTCCATGAAAGGCTGGCACGGTGGAGTCACAACCGAAACTACGATGCAGAGATACCAAACCTAGTTTTGACAGTTTGACGATTTCCTTTTCGTAGTCTGAGAAGTCGTCGGGCACCTAAAAAATACCACTTCGTCTGATTCGCTGACTCATGGATCATCCTCTGCTACATACGTCGAGCGCCGCCATTTTTACGAGGGAGGATAAAAAGGAGGCGGCACCACACCGGACTCCGAGTTTCGGTATTTCAAAGAGAAGGGCAGTAGTGCGTTCGAAATTGCGTTAAAAATAAAACATGCTTTACGAATGCCGCTATTAAACGTTATTGAAGTGTCACTGACAAAGTTTCTAAACTTCATATTTGACTCCACAAATCAAAAGAAGCGAGGGAGTGAAGAGCGGGACAGATAAACGCCCAAAATAAAAAGGCACGCACCTGCGTTTAAAAAAGTTTTTTGTTTGTCTTATTTTTTTTTTTGTGGTTATGATTACAACTTGCATTGTTATAGACAACCAAAAAAATACACTCTAAAGAAAAAAGGGTTGTAAACGGGTGTATTTTTACACTCTCTGTCCCATATAATACACCCCAAAACTTCAACTCGACGTACAGCGCCCTTAAGTCGAACAGATTGCCCCAAATTTTACGAGTGGCTTGATAGCCGTGTGGTACAACCTTTTAAAATAGCTGATGTACTACGTGTTGGTGACTACAAAAAAGTATAATTGGGGTATTCTTGGCCCTACTGCAGAACCTCAGTGTTTTCTTTATGTGATCTTTGATGCGTCCTTTAACTATTTAAAAAGTTCTATCGCACCGTTATCAAGCCCCTCTTTATATTTGGGACCGTCTGTTCGACTATAGGGCGCAGTAAAGGTTCGTCCCTTAGTTGAATAGATGACGACTGCCCGGCGGTGTCTTGCGGGGCCAGTCGTTTGATGAGCCTTGCTCGGTGGGTGATCAGAAGAGTGTGACAGATGCGGGAGGACTTCGTCTAAACTGTTTATTTAGACGTGACGAGCTATTGTACACAGTATATACAAAGCAAAGGGAATTCGCCGTCCTCCAAATTAGTCCAAGTCCAAGCCAGAAAAAGGGGCTTCTCTCTCCCCCGTCACGGGCTTTTGAAGACGCTGAACCCCTCACTCTCGGGCGAGGATCAACCAATCATTTCAAAGCTTTGCTGAAGCCACGTGATATCCACCGTCCAATAGTTGGCAAGGGCGTCGATACACATTCGTTAACTTGCCAACGGACTACAGCCGACAGCTCCGTAACTTCGTCCGTGCATCCCGTTGCAGACATAGCGGCGCCTCTCCGGAACCCCCATGTTGAAACCCAAGAAGCCCCGTAGAATGCGCAAGCCTTCCAGATTCAAAATAAAAGAACAACATCTCTTCCCGAGGGGTCATCCCGATGGGGGAGACACAGGAAGACGCTCTCCAGGGGGCCGCGTCGGCAGAAAGGCCCGCGCGGTCCCCCGTTAGAAAAGCAAAACTACACAAAACGACCGGGGAGGGGGCATCATACACGCCGCCGGACAAGACGACCGTCGCCCGGCCGATCGAGAAACCAGCCGTCTTTTCCAGAACCCTTACACCTTTCCCCTAAAACTGTTTCTGGTCCTTCTTGGACCTGCTAAACAGTTAATCTAAACACACGCAAAAGAAATAAAACTAGATAACACTAACGTGAAGTTCTTCAGAACCGACTCAAAGCGTGCAAACATAATCGTAAGCGGACAATAAAACAAAACACATAAAAACAACAGATTCTACTTTAACAAACCGGAATCCCAGTGCAAACATAAAAAGGGGCCAAAACGCGTGCGTGACATTCCAAAGGCTATAAAATAACACACACAAAGAGAAAAACAGCGTTACATTCGCATTGAACGTATTCACAACAGCAACGAGAAAAACGTCCTTTTGGGTCCCCAAGTTCAACTCGCCCATTCACTTCACAGCCCCACAGCGCCCTGCGGCACGGGTGAGGGGAACATTCACGTCTAACCGAGGCGGCATGGCATGATCACTCAGTCGACTCCCAACATAAATTGTTGAGCCCACACTACGCGTCAGTATTTCCGTTACTGGTTCCCCTCCCATGCTGGGCTGTTACATTGTAACGCTGAAGGGCCGAGGCCTACCTAGCCAACCCCACAAGTCAGTGCTTCGCTGTCTTCATCTCTTCTGACGTTCTGTTCTTCAACTTCACAAGGATAGGCCGCTGTACCTCCCTGTTGCACCTGGACCTTACCACTCCTAGCTTTCAACAGTTCCCAATCTTCCCAGGCAAGCAAACAGTTCACCCCTTCCGCCAGCTGATTGGTGAGCGCGCACACTAAGTCGGCTTTAGTTGGATTTTCTACCGCCCCTGGACAGCTCAACCTTATTGGAAGTGTCGCAAGATTGGCATCAATGGCGTGGCCAAAAGCGGACACTAGCTTCACTGGGCCCGACAGTTCCCTCAAAGCTTGAGGTAGCAGGCTCTCCCGTACCGTCATTTCGGTACCCGTGTCGAGCACTGCTTCGGTGTGTACGTCGCCGCACTCCAGTTGAACCAATTGTAGCTTCGAGCGGCCGTCTCCGAAATCGACCGCCTCACCTCAACCCGAGCGGTTAACACTCTGTCTGTCTGCCCTTTCGGTTCAGGAACATTTGCCAGCCCCTGAGGCACCTCACTACCCGAAGCGCGAGGGCAGTGCTTGGCAATGTGTCCCTGCTCATGGCATACATAACACCTTACAGCTGCTCGACCCGAGTTCACGGGACCTTTGAACCCTGGCGAGCGCCCCGTCCCTGACTGTTCTGTTGGAACGTACACCTGTTTTGTGGCGCTCCCTTTCCCTTTTGCCTGCTCATAAGTCTGTAACACCCTCGCCACCTCGACCGGTTTTAACCAAGTTTCTCCCTCGCGAAGGCGAACATACTCCAAACCATCGGTACTCAGGCTCGCCTTAATCCGATCAGCAACCATGAGCTCCGTTACTGCCTCCTGCGTGTCCGCACCTCTCACCTGAAGGTAATACGTGAAGTAGGTTCGGACACGGGAGGCGAACTGAGCCCATGTTTCATCTTTTCTTTTGGCTGCACTGTCGAACCTGTCTAGGTACTCAGCTGGCGTGAGTTTCAGTTCGCTCAGCACCGCCCGTTTTACCGACTCGTAATCTAAACAATCGTCTTGCCCTAGACTGCGCAGCAGGTAGCGGACAGGCTCCGTTAGCAGTGGCATAATCAAATGTACTCGACCACTATCCGGCACCTGGTACGTGGTAAACAATTTTTCCACCTCATCAAACCATAGAGGAACGTCCGCGTCACATGGCAGGCTGTACCCTTTCAAAACGTTTGCGCATTGCGCAACCGAGTCTAAGCCTGCGTGCCGTTGGTCGTCTGTTTCCGACCCAGAGGACGAAGGTCGACCACTTTCCTTTCCTAGCTGTGCCATGCGACACGCGATCCGCTCTTCGGACTCAATCTGAAGTTGCGCTTTCCGCAACTCAAATTCTAGTTCGAGCCTTCGAATTCTGACCGCCTCCGATTCCTTTTCTGTCGCACCCTGTGGAGCCTCCTGCCCCTGACCAGAGGTTCCTGTCCCCTGCGAGTTCTCTCCATTTAACCCGTTCTCCATGTCGGCCAGCATCTGACGCGTCAAAACCATAAGTCCCGCCAACTACCAGCCATGCCAACCTCGACCCGACGCAAGAAATCCCACTCACCCGGCGCAAACGTTGCTGCAGTTTGACGCCCAGAGCCCGGATATTGCGTCCTCAGTAGTCGTCCTTGGCCTCGGCGTCGGAACTCCTGACCCTCGAGGTCCCTGGTTTCAGCCACCGGTCGTTCAGCGTTGCTGTCCGATGACCCAGGTGGTTTTCTCTCCGTCGATGTGCCGCATGCGCCGCTTTCCACCGGCCAGTCCGCTTCGGCAGTACCGCTCCCTGACGCTCAGCGTTGCTTGTCGGCGGATTCCGTCGGTCGCTCCGTTCAAGCACCTGGCCAGCCAGGAAGCTTCAGCTGGACCACCTCTGTCGCCTTCTTGATCCTCTGATCGTCACCGAGGCTCGCTCATCGATGTCGAGCTGCGCCAGTAAGGGTTCGTCCCTTGGTTGAATAGATGACGACAGCTCGGCGGTGTCTTGCGGGGCCAGTCGTTTGATGAGCCTTGTTCGGTGGGTGATCAGAAGAGTGTGACAGATGCGGGAGGACTTCGTCTAAACTGTTTATTTAGACGTGACGAGCTATTGTACACAGTATATACAAAGCAAAGGGAATTCGCCGTCCTCCAAATTAGTCCAAGTCCAAGCCAGAAAAAGGGGCTTCTTTCTCCCCCGTCACGGGCTTTTGAAGACGCTGACCCCCTCACTCTCGGGCGAGGATCAACCAATCATTTCAAAGCTTTGCTGAAGCCCCGTGATATCCACCGTCCAATAGTTGGCAAGGGCGTCGATACACATTCGTTAACTTGCCAACGGACTACAGCCGACAGCTCCGTAACTTCGTCCGTGCATCCCGTTGCAGACATAGCGGCGCCTCTCCGGAACCCCCAGGTTGAAACCCAAGAAGCCCCGTAGAATGCGCAAGCCTTCCAGATTCAAAATAAAAGAACAACATCTCTTCCAGAGGGGTCATCCCGATGGGGGAGACACAGGAAGACGCTCTCCAGGGGGCCGCGTCGGCAGAAAGGCCCGCGCGGTCCGCCGTTAGAAAAGCAAAACTACACAAAACGACCGGGGAGGGGGCATCATACACGCCGCCGGACAAGACGACCGTCGCCCGGCCGATCGAGAAACCAGCCGTCTTTTCCAGAACCCTTACAGGCGCTGTACGTCGAAATGAAGTTGTGGGGTGTATTATATGGAACAAAAGGGTGTAAGGTGATACCCTTTTTTTTCTTTAGAGTGTACGATTTTTGGGGTGTCAGTGCCCCTTCAATGCTCTTGCATTAATAAATGCACAGAAGGACAACCTAGACAACGCAGCTTGAGTTAAAAGTCGAGAGCTTCGTCGTCCCACTTGTACTAACTACTTTTTTTTGGGGGGGACTGCATGTTTTTTATACTTCGTTTCATTTCAAGTACGGAGGCAGTCGTGGCCACAATTTCGTGGCGCCGACCAAGCCGCGTCCAAATTGCACCGTCACGGCGCTCGCTCTCTTCCGGATTCAAAACCAATCACGCATAAAAGAAAGCGCAGCGTGGAACGCGTTCACCATGCGTGATTGACTTAATCGAGGATCGACAACGCAGAAAGGCGATAAGCGCCGGTCCGATGTACCTTTAAGGCTGTTTGATTGGCTCGATAGCGCCATAGCGTAGCGCAGCGTTGACGTAACGCCCGGTAACAGTTCCCTGAATACTATTTTTTTTAGCTTCGATGTGTACTTTGTTGTTAAAATGCCATTTTTTAACCTTGTGCGACCGTACACATGCCCAAGGATATCGACATCCTTGGGGTTATACCTAATGATGACGCCGTCCTAAACACGCGTGCTGAGGAATCTGCAGCGTGGGCTTTCTTTTTTTTTTTTTTACTGTGAGTTTGTTTGTTTTAACTCCAGCTTAATGTACACCGTGCTATACTGTTAAAACATCGATATTCCTCTTTCTTGTTGTGTTCTTTTATATTAGGTTGTTATTCTCTATTGCTTCCACAAATGAGGCAAGTTGTTTATCCCGGTAAATTTTATCAGCGAAATACTAACGAGAACTTCTCTTTTGCTCAGCAAAGCGCCTGGTATTTGAATCCGATAAGCATGTGAGACAGGTGAGACAAAATTATTGCATGTATCTCCCATTCCTGCCATGCAGGGGCACTAATGGGGAGCTATCTTCCGGGGCTCGTAATGGACCCAGAATGCCGTCGGCTGAGAAAATTACCGTAATTACCGGAGCAGAGCCTGAAAAAGTATGTTTTTGCGCGTGGTTAGGGACTCGCGACTGAAAGAAGAGGGGGTTAATATGGTACAAAAAAGTAAAAAAACTAAACTTGTGATGGGCTTGTCAATCGAATTCCGTCTAGAGAAACGTAAAATGTATGCGTCCGGGATCACCTATTTTGCCTACAAAGCAAAAGCTAATAAAATCCTCAAACAACACGTGAGCTGGTGACAATTCATCTTTGAATATTTTGGAAACTGAGAAAAACAGAAAAAAAGGAGGCACCATGAAACACAAAATCTCGAATTCTTTGGGTGGTGTCTAATTATTTCTGTTCTCCTCAGTCTCCTATCACCTATTTCTAAAAAAAGAAAGAGCAACCCGAAGCTTTTTTTTTTTTTTTTCGAATGTTTAAGTTGCGAGCAACTTCTTTCTTCTTTCGTTACTACAAAGCTTCTTTTTTTTAAAGTGTTGTATGCGTGCAGAAGTGTTTCATTTTAACCATTTAAACGTTGATGCCTTCGGTAAGCTCCCCACAGGGGCTGCCTCATCTAAGGAATATTTCTCTCTAATTATCCGATGCAAATAAATAAAACATGTGATCAATCATTGCTACTTAGTCAGGTGTAAATTTTGCGCGACAGCACGAATCACGACATTGGCTTTTGTTGCGTTTTGTCTGGAGAGATTATTTATTAATACAAAAATTATCACTTCGCTTTATGCCCCAATGAATTTCTCTTGAGGCTAGTAGTTTTTTTTATTACGTATGGTTTACTCATTCTGAAAGCGAAGCAGCAATAAACCAGCAAGTGTGTAATCGAGGAAGTTAACGACACATTTGTCGTATTCAGAAAAAAAAGGAAACACCTGTAAAACGATTCTCCGTTTTATATTTCTACAAGACGTTTGAATGTTTACAAACATTTCTGTATTGATAATCGAAAACGATTAAAGCAAAAGAAAATAAAGCGGAATAATTATGAAAAGAACGGAGATTCATGCACGAATTTTATTTTCGTTGAATATAATTGAATGAAAAATAGTCCGAAAACACTTAATAAACTTTTACATGCTTTGTTAAGACGGTGGATATGTACCCGAAATGTTCTAGTCCGGGGTTCTACTTGTTAGTCCACCATATCCTTTGGTTTATTATGATAAAATCAGCTTTATTTAATTTTCGTGAAACTCAAAATTCTACTCTTTTCGACATATTTGATTTATCTACGAATAAACACGTACAACTAAGTAAACACATTAATGCCAGTGCAATAGGATAATAATAATTTTTATCCTTCCTTAAATCTGGGAGATAAAAAAGACACTCCTAAATTCTAAAAAAAAATGGTTGAGAACGACGCGATGCTAGCTTGTTAATTAAATTCTGATTGAGTCATTCACTGTCAAACTAGGTACGGATTGCGCTTTTTTTTACATTGCTATAGCAATTTTTTCATGAAATATTCAGGTGCGGCTTAAACTATGAAGTTGCTGCATTCGCATTCATACAACATGCGACTCGAAGTTAAAAAAAAAATTGGATATATATATAGAGCGAGAGAGACAGAGAGAGAGAAAGAAAGAAAAAAGAGAAAGAAAGGGGGAAGAGAGCCAAAAAAAGAGGAGAGAATTATTGTTAAAATTTTTTTTAACATTCGAACATTGCGTTTGTTTTAAACGTTGTCAATTCATTAAAAAAAAAACTCCTACTGCTTACTACGCGAGGCTTAACGAACAATAAATTTTATTGGTGTCACCCGTGATGAACGTTGCATGTAAGTAATGCGTAACGTAATGCTGCAACGCCGTTTGTTTCCGTTTGCTAGAATAAAATATTTTTGACGGAGGCTCGTCTGATTTGATCAAGGCATCAAAAGTCACTATGCTCCATTATCACTGCATATCGACACTAGCAGACTACGCATTAAAGCCGAACTTCTGTTGGCGAAATCTCGTTTTTGAAATATAGTAAACTAAGAATAAACAAAATGATAAGAATACTTTTATTTCTATAATCCGTATCACATAAAGTGCGACCACAGTCAGAGCTAATACTTCATATGATCAATCAAGGAGCACCACAAAACACTCGTCGTCCATGCACGTTTGATATCACCGGTTAAACGAAGCCCAAGTACAAAAAATGTGCAGGATCATGTCGCGCTCACTGTGCACGATCGGTTTCACCTTTGACGGCAGACGAACAAGGACGATGGGTGCCGATTAATTGTATTATTATTGTTCATGACTGGGCGTGCGTGCGAAAATACTGTGCGAAACTATTGCATAAAAGCAGTAGTTTCATGACTGAAACTACTGCTTTTATCTGGGGATGTTGAAGTGAACCCTGGTCCCAACACTCGCTCTGCAAATATGAATACCACTGAAAACTTTAGTGACATAATGTCGGCCCTAAAGGAGATCGAGGCTGGACAAACGTCACTTTTAGAGGAAATGAAATCGATCCGTTCACAACTATCAGTACATGATAGAACGTTTAACGACATTAAAAAAAGGCTTACGAATATAGAAGAGGACTGCTCGTCTATAGTTGCAATCAAGTCACAGGTCGAAAGCGTTCAGACTCTCGCCAAGGACAGCGCTGCACAAATCGCTCACTTAACAGCCAGATTCGACGACTCCGAAGACAGGGCTCGTCGAACCAATCTTATTTTTTTTTTCGGACACGCAGATAATCAACGCGAAACATGGGCCCAGTCAGAAAGCCTAATAATTGAGCATTGCAGTGCGG